TGGGAGACGGTGTCAAAGGCTTTACTGAAGTCCAGGTAGATTGACAGAAAGACAATAGTTATTTATGTTGGGGAGATACTTTTGATCCTGGGATTTCATAATTTGTTTAATTTTGGTACATTTAATGTTTTTTCAGGCATGAATGATTGTGACCAGTGTAAGTTATTAAGGACACTTCAGTTCACATTTTGTTACATTTCAGCGATTTTGAGATTTGAATATTCTGTCATTTAGCCACATGTTGGTTTTTAGTCACTTACCATTTGTGAACTTGGAAGTGTATCCAATTTCAGAAATATGCTTTTTCATTTGTTTAGCCTCTACGCCGCCCTGACTCCTCTGATGACCGGTATGTGATGACCAAACATGCAGCTATATATCCAACAGAGGAGGAACTTCAAGCAGTCCAAAAAATCGTTTCTATTACTGAGCGTGCTTTAAAACTTGTTTCTGACAACATGACCGATCATGAAAAAAGCAAGAACAAAGAGGGTGATGACAAAAAAGATGGCAGTAAAGACAGGTATTTTTTTATTACTTATTAAGAATTTCATCATTTGTTTCTGAAGTTTTTTCTTACACTGTTATCAGTGCTTCAAGGGGTTCTGTTCTCTTTGGGGTTTGATATGATAATATGTCACTGTGGCCTCAAAAGTATGTGGAATACACCTGTTTTATTTCAATTCTCTTTTTTCAGGATTCGTTTTAAGGTTTTTATATTATTTTAAATGCAACTTTTAACTATAATTTACAGAGCTTTGAAAGGAGTTTTACGTGTAGGCGTTTTGGCTAAAGGTTTGCTACTCCGTGGAGACCGAAACGTCAATCTGGTTTTGTTATGTGCTGAGAAGCCTTCAAAGACATTACTCAGTCGTATTGCTGAAAGTCTTCCCAAACAACTTGCAGTAAGTAGAATTTAGATTTTTGGATTTGAGTTTTTGTAAAGATACTGTAAAAATCTGTCTGCAGGTCTCACTGTGCCACGTTTCGTAGCTCAGGTTCGGTTTCTTTCCATTTTCTGAGTGTTTCCATCTGAATTCAGGGACTATGCAGCATGTTTTGCTTTCTGTGTATTGTGTCCATACAAATGTTTAGGTGTTTATGCTAGAGGTGTAGTATCAATCATCGTTTAGTAGATTTCATTTAATTGGGAAATAGAAATGAACAGAAGAAAGCCTACTTTCCAGTTACCAGCAGCGATAGAAGTAATTCATGCGTTGTTACAGGAAACGTGCTGCCTGAAGCTCCAAGTTCTCCATTAATGCCACTCTGTTTGTACTTACATGTTGTTTCCAATTTGTATGTGTCAGTGCTTTGTAGTCCACCATTAGTTAACTAAGTCCGGTGTGTTTTTTTTTAATTTGGCCCTTTAAAAAAAAAAAAAAAAGTATGTGCACTCTTAGACCATTCAGCAGAATTCATATAAACCATTTGCTGTATTTCCACAAGAAATGAAAGTATAGAATAAAGTCTCTGCTCTCTGCTGAACAAAGCCTCTCCACCACCATTACAGCATACTTGCCACAGCATTAGTATTTCGATACTGTCTGGTAAAACATTCAGCAGAATCAGTAGCATGGTAGAAGCTTTAACAGGATCAGATTCATTAGAAAATAATGTTGAGTTTGCTCTTGTTTGAAGTAACAGAACAGAAGAAAATTTAAAAACTGCACATCTTGGTCTGGCTTTGTGGAGAAGTCACCTGTCCCTCTAGTTTGTGGAAGAAGGCAACAGAGGTGCCTACAGCTTCCTTTTGGGGGTATTCAGAATTATTAAATCTAGTTGCAAGAAGCAATTCAAAATAACCACCTTGTTACTCTTACATTTTTTCCCTGGAGTTTACCTTGCCCTTTGTTCTTATCCTTTTGTGACAGGCAAGTATAGAATGTACCTAGCAGTACCCATCCTGTAACTGCACGCTGGAAGAACAACCACTGCATCTTTGTACTTTTTAAAGGCTTCTATGTTCCAATGAGAAACATATCCAGCTGACGTTTTAAGTGGCCCTGAGGCTTTTCTTTATCTCCAACGCTGTTAAGATTCTTGTTATGTAACCTACTTGTATATGAATTTCCTTTCTGGGTAGTTCTTTTTCTTTTGCATGCTTGGTGACTGCTGTGTATTTTCATTAATGATTCGGAAACAGTATGCAAGTCCACATATATATCTTAATTGTGTATACTGTGGTTTCTTTGAATATAGAGGTATCTGCTTCATACAATTATACTGAGTTTCTGTCTTTCTGTTAAAAAGACTGTTGAAATCCGTTTTCTTCCCCACACTTTTATCGGCCACATGCTAATGGAAGTTTCTGTTTCTCAATATTTAGGTAATAAGTCCTGAGAAATACGATATCAAATGTGCAGTCCCAGAAGCAGCAATAATTTTAAATTCGTGTGTGGAACCCAAAATGCAAGTTACTATCACACTGACATCTCCAGTCATTCGGGAGGAGAACATGAGGGATGGAGGTTGGGAAGTTGTTGAAGATGTTACTTCTTTCTCACTCATTTTTTTATGTTTATCTGTTCTGCTTAAGATGGCATTAAGGTCCTGGAAGGCAACATGCTGGCACATGTATTTGATCAAAACCTTGTTTTTCAACAAGAAGTCTCGGTAGAGAACAGTTGGTTAAAATAAATGTTTATATGATGCTTTTATTTAATTTATAAAATTTCTAACTTTATGTCCAACCTCAGCTTTCTGGAAAAGGTACAAACTGGACTATTTTTTCCCCTCTTATAAAATTATGTGGAAAACTAAGTATTTTATAGCAAGTGGCTATAAACTGGCTTTCTAGAGCAGTCTTGCCCTAAGAGAAAGATTGTATGGTTTTAGAAGATCAAATCACAGGTTTTTGGGTTTAAACTGGATCAGTATTACCATCACTTAACACATTCCAAACAGCAGCGCCACTTAAAATGCACTTTCATAACACTTTTGATGGTAACAGTGCTTCTAACTTAAAAAGACGATGCGATTTTTTCCAGCTTTCTGAGGTTGCTTTTTTGTTTGGAGTGCTTTTTGAGTATATTTAGGCTCCTGGTATTACAATCAGTCTTCTATCCAACTGGCAAACCCAGACTAGTACAATAAGAAATGGCTTTGTCGTTGAGCTGAAGCAGAAGGTGGAGCTTGTAAATCAATTTATATTCCTGAAGTCCACAGTTTCTCTGGTGCCAGCAGTGTTGCTTTAGGGTCTGTTCTGTAACACTTTCAAAGCTCCAAAAGCTTTTAAGCCAACAAGCATGATTAATGTCTGCAGTACATTGGTTCTTTTTATTTACGGGTCAGATAAAATTAACTTTTGTTTCCTTTTAATCCTGTATTTTCATAGTTGAAAGAGATCATGGCAAACAGGGTTCTGGTGTTTGACAGTGAACCTACAAATAGGAAATCTGAGGCTATCTTAACACTTCTCATGTGCAGGTTGAAAAAAAACTGTATGTGTGTATGTATACATGTGCTTGTGTATATACGTATTTATATAAGCCACAAAGGTTTTTTTATTTCATCTCATCATTACATGTCCTCTAAAATACTTGAGGTTTTTATATTGCATTAGTAAATGTCCTGTAGCTGTGACTAGTGCACTGTAAGCAAGCTGTGTTAACAAAGTCGTCCTCCATAATCGGAAAGAAAAATTTCAAGATACATTCTCTGGTTTGGATGACTTCTGAAGAATCTTTAAGAGTGCTTTTTATATGATTTTTAAGCTGTCCATATTATTCCTAGCTATAAAGGCTTTGTACATGTACTGTCACACCCAACCAATTTTACTTGGTTTTTGACAATCTAAGTGTAACATGACTCTTGGTTTGTCTGTGCTGAATGACTTCACATATTATTTAAGTTTATAAAGCATACTTTAACTTAAAAGATTTGGTTATTAAATTAGATTAACCATTAAATTAAGTTAAACTTAAACACTATATTTATTTCTTAATGTACTGTGCAAAAGTGCAATACTGATTCCTGTCACAATACTCAATTGCAATTAAGTGATTTCTGGCCTAAAATTCTATGATGTGGACTAAAAATAAAATAAAGTTCAAATTACTGCCATCAATCCCTTAATTTATGCCACCTAAAGGAAACAAATCTGTATTTTTGTCTGACCCACACTTGAGTTAAAATGATCACTGTGAGTTTATTCACTGCTGAATGCAGTACTGCCTCTAGGCAAGCAAAATCAAGTTAGATTTCTCTTCAAGACACTGAGCAGTATAAAATGGATGTGCAGAAAAGTTCACTTTTGAAACTAGAGCAAATAGAAGACTGAATTGCAAATTATTGCAGCAAAGAAGGCCTTATTACGAAGACTGCTGCTTATTTGCTGCAGAGTAACAGGATGTGTTTGTGTTTTTTCTTACTGCAGCTTCTCATGCTCTGTGTCTTACAACAGTTTAAAGTTTTCTTCTTTTTTAGCCCGCTTGGGGAGCTAGTTCAGGTGATAAGGAAGGCTTTACCGGAAGAACCAGTTTGAGTAAAGACGAGACTGAGACTTGCACGTGGAGTTGAATCGTGTTTGATGTGTAATAATCCCATTACATGACAAAAGGCTAAAAAAAAATACAGTGAAATAAAACTGTTAACCGCATAGCTACTGTTTCTTACAGTATTGTGCGTTTGACAGTTTACTGAATCTGATATATTCAAAGTGCTCTAACCCCTGCTGTGGAATCTTTCCTTCAGCAAACAAAGTGTACATACTTATAAACGCATATATGTGTGCGCGTGTGTCTTTTTTATCCTTAGCTAACAGCCCCGGTCCAAAGCCTTCTAGCAGAGGGACTTGATTCCTGTCAGGGGTTGCTGCCAAGACATCGGAAGGATTTTTGACCAAGGTTTTCTAAAGCTCAGTGTCACACCTGCCATGCTTTACAAAGGAGGGGGTTTGGATGCATAGTCCTAGCATCTACTGTTACTTTGTGGTTTTTTTTTTTTTTTTTCTTTTCGTCTTTGTCTCTCTCCTAGAATTAAGCAGTGTTCACACTAGTCTTGAAATAGTTGACTGGGTAAAATGTATTTCCCATAATAAAACTTACTGAAATTGATATACCTGTTAACTTTTAATGAAGAGGTAGTGTGGACACAGCATGTCTAACTGAAGATTAACCCCTTATATTTAGGCTAGTAATAAATTAAGTTATGTAGGGTAAGAATTCGTGCTTATGTTTTGTAAATTAATTCATTTTTTTGTCTTAGCTTAAGAGGGTGGTAGGTGAAGCGTCTGAATTTAGTTAAATAGTCTTTAAGGGGTTAATCCTGAAATGTGAAACAGATGCAAAAATCCACAGATTAAATATTACAAGAGTTTCCTTGATACATTTTTTCAGTCAATGTACTCTCAGTGCAATAGGTGCCTTGGCAACTTCTGACTTTCAGAGGTTTTTTAAGTTTCAAGGGTATTCATATGGTATCTCTTAGTAGCACATTTTAGATCGACATTTCCAGCACTGAGTAAGATTCTCTTCTATGCACTTAAACTGTAATTCTTTTTAGTAACATTATTTTCCAAATTGAAGTTCTTCAGAGTGAGAAGTAATTGGAGTTTCAAATTACATAATTATTGTGCTAAAATTTTGCACAGTGTCACCTATTTGCATATTCAGTTTAGAAGAATATGAATAGTTGACTGATTAGGCTACTAGGCCTAGCAACCCATATTTTTATTTTTAATTTCTCAGCCTTACTTTGCCACTTTTTTCCTGCTGTGGGTTTTCTCTACATATACTCCTTGTCTCTTATATCCAGATTGTACTTGTTTCATCAGTTATCTTACCTGGCACCTCTCTTGTCTAGGTTTGGGGTTGGGTTTTTTTTGATTTGGTTTTGTTTTATTTTAAAGGAAGTACCACTTTAAATGTCTTCATTTGCTCTGTAAATGCCTTGTTAGTGCAGTTTTTCATCTTTCCACTTTAACATATAGTCCATAGGTTTGAATATCTGTGTGAGGAGATACCTATGTTCCTCTCAGTTTTGTTCTTATTTTGAAATTCTCCCCCTTTTAGCCTGGTGCAGAGCAATGGGACTATTCTATTAAAAATGCTAAAATCTGAATGTAGTACTTCAGATTAACTTTAATTACTATATTGCAAAGTTGTACCACCATGTTCATTCATGGCTTTTAGCTCTCTGTATAGTAAAGTATCCTACTATTTATTTTACATTTTACTATTTATTTTACATTTGTGTAAAATAGGTGGTTTCAGAGCTGTATTTCTGCAGCATCCCTAAAAGCTTCTCCTTGCAGGCGTATTTCATGAGTCTCTATATATTATTTTTTTCTAATTTTATTCTCTGATTTACCTGAATTTATGTCTTGCTGGAGTAAACTATATTGTTCCATATAGCCAGCTCCTGTGAAATGAGTGCCATTGAGTGAGGGCTTTTTGTTTCATCTTCTCTGGTGTATCACCAGTTATGCTACCAATATACTTTTTTACTAGTCACAGTAGCCATTTTCATAATTAGTAAAATAAAGAACTTGTAAAGCTGATCACTGCATTATATCTGTACAATTTTTAAGTAACTCAAGGATACTTTTTCACATTGTTCAGTGGTTCCAGTTTCATTGATCAAACCACTTCCAAAAGGGCCTATGGTCTCTTCCTTTTTGGTAACAAAGCAATCAGCTTGGTAATTAAATCCCTTTCTGAACATTTAAATATACAAGATCTACTGTATTTTCTTTATCTTTCAGACATTCTGCTTTGTTTTTTAAGCTATTCCTTGCTTTTCTTTTTCCTGCTGAAGCTTAAGTAAAGCAGTCCTTTTTCAGATCCTTCCTTGCATCCTAAATTATATTGGAGCACATATATTATGGGCTGAGGAATTTTATTTATGAGTGAGAGGGTACTAGAAAGTAATGGAACTCTCTAATATTGAAGACCATTTCACATTCCTTTAGTCAGGTTTTTAAAGCAAAATAATTTCAAGTTTAAGGTATGATAAAAAATCATTACTAAACTTCTAGTGCTTTTAAGATTTGTTATACTTAGTTCTTCTTTTAAGAATAGGTCCCAAATAACACCTGATCATTAAAATTTACAAGCAACTAAGTTTGAATATTTCTACTTGGTTAAAGTGGATTTTTGTGTTCCTTCTGTCTTGTGTTCTCTGTGCTGGTGCACTGTGTCCAACCATCCTTCCTTCAGTATTTAATTTTAGGGGATATGTGTTTTTCCAGTGTTAGCTTAAATAAAGAAGTACTACGCATTGCATAATCTGCAATGCATTTGAAAATAACCCAGAGCTAAAGTATAATATGCTCTTGATCTTCATACTGGGTTGATGCCCTAATCCTAATTGAATGGCTTTTGTTGAACATTTACATTTGTTGTTCAAGGGTTTAAACTTTAAATGGCATGTGTGACATTGAAGCTACTTTAAGGAAGTGTCTTGCTCACCTGGTCAAACACCCATTCCTCACTGCATTTTGCCAATTCAATCCATTTTAGATGTAACCTCGGGTATGGTGAAAGACCCACCGGACGTCTTGGACAGGCAAAAATGCCTTGACGCTCTGGCTGCTCTACGCCACGCTAAGTGGTTCCAGGTTCGGAACATCATTTTACTTTCTTCTTGTAGCCTTATGAGAGATTAGTTCAGTTGCAATATAAATGTTTAATTGTGTGAAAACACTCAGCGTTGTTCATAATAATAATACTACTTAATATTTTTCTGGTCCCTAAATTTAAATGTAGAAGGTTAAGTATGGAGGAACTGCTTTATGCAGTTATTGCTCATTTGACGTGATTTTTTTTGCTGGTCATTGAGAAGGCGAAGTTGAAAGCTTGACTCGCTTTGGGGTGATCATATGTTGTATATTTGTTATATATTCCATAAGGCTGCAGAGTAACTTTGCTTTAAATAATGGAATATGTGTTTAAAGCTTTGTGTTTAGATTTAAGACTTTTTTTCCTATTTCTTTAAGTGCATTAAGTGTAGCGA